TTATCAATACTTGCAATTATGGCAGTAAGGGCATGGATGGAAGTAAGGCAGGGGGAAGGAAACAAGAAAAGAAGGAAAACAAAGAACAGGAGGAGGAAGAGGAGGAGGAGGAGGAGGAGGAAGACAAACTCCTCTAAGTAGTTGGATTTTTTAGCGTCTGAGACCTCAGTCTAACGGCAAAATACTCATGTAACACATTGAGTACGGGCAGAGCAGCGTAGTATTTGAATGCAAATAAGCAATATAGGAATGAGCTGGAAGTGCACGTACCGTCAACGTTAATCCCTTTGGAAAAATAATTCGATACAGACTCTGCGGAACATTGAAGTGCAAAAACTCCGACAATGCGTGGTGAAGCTGTGTTTTCTTGAGAGTAGGCCAGGTACATTCGCAAAGATTCGACGAACACATGATTTTGTATTCGCTGCTCGCTGACCTCGTAGATGATAATTATGTCCTGCCAACCGTGAAAACGCAAAAACATTTTAAACATATTTGCGAAGGGAGTGGTCTGAACGGTCATAGAAACTGATGCCAGATTTAGATCCGTGCTCTCATGGACCAACGGACGATCCACCTGGGAAAATTGCCTGCCCAAGAACTCCAACCTACAGACGTACGACACCTGATATAGGCTGTGGTGGGTGTCGTAGCCGATGACGTTATTAGATATCCAGTCTGAGACGATGTTGCAGTCACCTCCCAGTGGCGGTCCAAGTAAGACAGACCAGGAACGGGCAGTTTCAGAGTAGTTTTTCATCTCATCAAGAGCACGGATGAGTTGCAGGCCGCGAGCTTTATCACGATTGGAGCAGCCATCAAGTACTTCATATTTGAGGCGAACCTTTTCCAGTTTCAACGGAGACTCGTACTGGGAGATTGTATATTGGACGGCTGTCTGCACTGAGTACAATAAGTCATAGTATCCGCTTTCAAGAAAACACGAGTTTCTACTTCCCATAAGGTATAGTGTCAGGAGGGTAGTACCTAGCGCGCCATGTACTTGAACGTCTTCTCCTGGATGCACATTTATATTACGAATTGCCGGCAAAAACAGGGGCATAAGCGTGATAAGAAGGAAAAATGTCAGACGTTCGTGAATGAAATGCATTCAACCACCCTGCAGATGAGCGATTTCAAAATACAATCGTGGAAAGCTGTATGAGGCTCTGTTTCAGAATTGAGTAGACGTTGGCATTTAGAGAAATTTGATTGGTTCGCCATTTAGTTTTCTTAAGTCAGCCTATGTTGTTACAGAAAAATGTTAAATTTTAGAGTACAAAATTGACCACTTTTATTATTTTTAAAAAGCTGAAGTTCCATACCTAAGGTAATGAAACTCTTCCCAACTCTTTGGTCTGAAACCATTAATGCAGATTAAAAGGCTGGCCTTTTAAATCATATTGTGATTGCTGTTTGAAATAAAGTATTTAGGAAAGAATGCTGCCGTTTCCGGTGCACTAAGAATGGCCTTCCTCGCAACCACTCTTAAGGTGTTCATATATAACTTCCACTCGCGATCTGTGTCTTTGGCTATAAAAAGCTGCCTTCACCTGCCATCAATTTGGGCTTGAACGTTTTAAATTGTATCATACTATTTATTTTATGCTAGACGATGCTACTATAGTCACCTACTTCAAAAGCGTATCAAACAAAAACCGTTTGGTATTTTCAAGTTTTCTTGAACATTGCCTGAGTTTAATTTTAAGAGTTAAAAGGTAATTTTGTAAGTGTATATTAATAAGAAATCCGAAGGAAGGAAGTGATAAATAAGCCACGCTCCATACGGAAGTAAATATGCAATAAAAAATTTCCACTGAATTATATAAACCTTAGTAAAATAAACAACCGTCTAGGTAGCGGAAGTTTTCGTCGATTCCCTGGGTCTTTATTCGTGAATTTTATTTCATAGAATAATGGCAGGAAAATAATTTATATCTGCACGTTAAAGGAGGTTTTATAGTTTGTACGTGTAAACACTGTTTTGAAATATTCATATTCATGAATATTATATAGAGGATTGCATGTATATTTGCATAGCCTGCTGCCTTTCAGATTCATGATTATACTCTGAGCGTTCGGAAATAATTCCATATATATAGCAATATATAGAAAACATAAAGTCCACCATTTTTCAATATGACACTCATGGTAATGGGAAATTGCGAGGTATTCTTGCCTAAAAGGGCCAAAAGCACGATCTATTTCAGACAGAGAATGTCGTGAAAAATATGTTGCGTGCTTTCTTTTCTCTTATTTATGGACCTACTCCCTTCGGTAGACCAAAGAGAACGCAGAATTGTCAGTTTTAAACATTCTTTCAAAATCCATACGAATAACTAAAGCATTTTAAAATCGGAACAGAATATGCACGTTTTAGAACGGAGACTCTAAATAAGTCTGATTTTCACGAATCCTCCAGAGTTTTGTTGCCTTGGTTCAACTCATCGGACAGTTGACCAGTGGAGTTTCCCTTTACTATGGCGTGTATGCACCTCCTATTTTAACAATGTGGTCGTTGTGACAAACTGCACACCGTGAACCCACAAATCGTATGCCCCTACTGTTTGAAGTTGCAATTTCCTTACACTTCGTATTCTTATGGTTCTTTTAGGGCTAGAGCATAGTCACCAGCCTGTCCTGTTGCTTGGCGTAAAGGCTTTTGTTAAATTCGAATAAGGGCGACGATTCAAACCACACCAAAACGATCGCTGTCGCTGAACTCGTGACTTGAATTCAGATGCAACTGACACACATTGCTGGCCGGTGTTCTTATGATATAGATTAACGCTTCCGGCAGCATCTAACAGATTTTCTTTTATACCAGTGTACACGCGTACTTTTTCATAGCATAACATTGCAAAGCGACTGGCAGAAAAACGCAAACCGATTCGACACAAAATTCTAACAAGACAAGATTAAGTTAATCGATTTCGTAAGAAATTCGCATCCCAATGGGCAAACGACGCCCTGAGGGGTCGCATCTGTTCACTTCTAAGCTCTTTGTGGAGGCTGAAGAATTGCTATATGAAGCGATTGTTAGGAAGAATTTCTTAATCAGCCTGCCGCTCGATTGCACCACGTAAATAATCAATTCGTATTCGATAGCCAATTTTACCGCCAGATGGATCGAATGGCGATGTGATCACTCCCGTTACCAAATGTCTTCGAGGAAAAACTAGAGAAAGAAATGGCCCTGTTCAGTTATAAAGAACAAACGTTAACTCCTGTAGTGGAAAACAGCACAGAGGGTGCCTCTCATGTTTGGAGGTCATGCTTTGTAGAACACCTGGTGGAACAATTCATAGAAGAGTATTTCGTTAGAAAACCTAAACAAGACAATACTTTGATTTCTGACTCGTCTTCCCCCTATGTCGGAAGGGATACTTCGTCCGCTATCTCATTAACCAGGCTAGAAGTATCTGCACCCCAATTACGCTGAGAACATATACACCTTCATACAAAACAGTGCGAGAAAACGTCATCCCCTAGAAGTTTAGTTTTAACTATATGGAGGGAAGTCCCCGAAAACGAACGTGCTTACGGCTGGTAAGAATGAACTATTTCTCACACTGCAATTTCGAGGGGTCCAGCGAGCAACCACTTACATCAGTCCTTAAATGCTGCTACCGCGCACACGTACTCAAGCGCTAAGATCGGATTAATTCTGCCAAACATTCCCGTTTTCCGCCTAGCAGGTAGGGATAGCCTGCCTTTCGAGCGTCTTCAGTGCGAATTTACGACTTCGCTTGCTCCTGTGGGACATTTTATATTGGCCAAGGAACTCAGTGCCTATACACACGGATGCTAGAGCACCATCCTACCCGGTTAACTGAAGACACGAAAAAGTCTTCATCTGGTGGATTGCGGGCATCGACTGTGCGTCAACCAAGCAGTTTCCATAATCGGTTCAGTATCGGCGAGACACCCGTTGTTTCTGCGCCAGCAATTTTGTTTGACGCCAAAGGTAGTGACCATTTCAGCTCGCAGGACTCGTGAATACAGGCCCTCAGGCTTCAACGTCCCAAAACGAGTCCTGCCGCATCAACCTTCATCGAAAATGGGATACATAGTTCGCTGATAGCAGTGAACAAGCGAAGGAACCATTGCAGAAGAAGAAGAGGCGATCGCTCGAATAAAAACTATACAGGCTGTCCCAAAATATGTATACACATTCTACATAATTGTAAAACTGGTTTTTATCATACTTTTATCATTAAAAAATGTAAAAATATTCATAAGTATCATTTTTTTCGCAGAATGATCATTTTTACCATGACACCGCTGATAACGTTAAGCGATGGGATCGCACACACCATGCAATAATTCCCTTGGTATTCGAATGCATTCATGTTTAATGCCTTCTCGCAATTTAGCCATTGTCGCAATAGTCAAAATGCAGTGGAAAAAACAATAAAATGATACTTATTAATATATTTACACTTTTTTAAATAATTAAATTATAAAAAAACACCAGGTTTACGACTATTTAAAATGTGTATACATTTTTGGGACACCCTGTATATTGCCCTGAGATTTCGAATTTTCACTTGAACCCACCATCAGAGGCAGTCACAGGAAAAGATAATAGACGCACAGAGTGCGTAATATTTATGGAACACCGTTGCCAGGCAACCACGTGCAAATACTAATTCTCAGTACTCGTGTACATCGCGAATGTCGTAATCGGTTCGGTGATGGCTTGTCGGTCCGTACCCGGGTCCTTAACTGCCATGATTCCGTGGCTGTTGTCGATCCTTGGGGTGAAGATTACGCCAAAATTTGGCCCGCTGTCGCGATGCCTACTGGCTATCAGCACCCTGGCCAAATTGCAGCACAGAATATGGAGGCAGGAGGTCATTACGCTTGTTAAATGAATACGATTCAGAGGACCAGGACTCGAACAGCTCGCGGCTCAAAGTCTCGTCACCCCCTGCATGAATGGCTGCCTCTTCAAATTTGAAGGTGTGGCTGGGTTCCGTCGAATGACGCGTAATATGGGAGTTAGCCCACCTCCTCCTAACTGCTCCTACATGCTCAGCCATCTGCATTCGAATAAGCCTCCTAGTTTCTACGACGTAGTTGCTTTGTCTTCATGTGCACCAAAAATTCCAATAATAATGGCAATTGAATAATTTAAAGGTCAATCTTTTGTCACATAAATAACTTTGCTCTCCAGCTCTCTAGGTTTTAGTCCATTATCAACGCAGGTAGTAAGCGATTCGTGCAATCCAAGAAATTGGGAAACGACTCATATTTACTACAAATTCTACGTTAATTTTTAATACGGATATTCTTATTCCAATTTTCCTCGTATATTTAATTTCGCAATATTACCAGTACAGAAAACGTTTTGCCCTCGTTGCCATGGCTACAGTGGCCGCTTTTAAGTGAACTTTTCTTCCAACCAGTACCCGAAAGCGCAATTAACGTCGAAAAAGTTTTTGAACTCGCCCGAACTTTCATCAGCGACTCGGTGGATAAAAGCATCTAGCCCAGCGAAGGTATGTATCTAAGGTAATTATCAACTCACTAATTTTTTAGACATCTGCACTCAGAGCACACCCTCAGAAGCCTACTTTTTCGTACACACGCTCGACACCCATAAGCAAAAATGAGGGGCGTTTAACTGCTTCTCGGAGGAACAGTTTTACTGCGTGCCAGCCAATTAACGTGGAAACAGTTTTTAATGACTTTGCTATCCTCTCATTCATAATCTTCCATACGAGGAAGCCCAGAAAAGATAAATAAGTGGAGTCTTCGCACATCCGCACGTTTTCATACGGCTGTTTCCAGGATGCAGCTATGCCTAATCTTCACTCTGTGCGTACTGCCTGTCTGCCTCAAGGCCGGCTTGAATTGGCAAGTCAAGAGAGCCACAGGCGGATCCGAGCCAAAACTGGTCATCTACAGCCTATTATCCCAATCGAATTGCTCCCCCGAATTTGAACTGTTTGATTACAAGACAAGTATATCCAATGCCGTTTGGTATGTCTACAATAAGACCCTCAGGAGCGATCCCCAATTCACGGTCATGCTTGGATTCGGTGAAGCACCATACTGCACCATTGAACAGGAAGATCGAGCAGTAAATCTGACCTCCGAGTTACTCCTTTTAAGTGAGCAGACTGAGATGCTGGACGGTTTCGCGGTTTACCTGGGACCGCCAGATGGTACGGACTGTAACATTGTCAATGACTGGATATCCCTCTCGAAACCGGGCTCGAGAGCAAGCTCAAGACTCTTTCAAATTAACTACCTCTGCCGCCTGCAGGGTTTCACCTCAGTCTTTGTTCTGAATGATCTGGATCCTGCTACACAGAAGCCCGTTGCAAGTGAAACGCTGGCAGCAGTGTCGCTCACGATCGACCTCTCAACACTCATCTCGACTGTGCGAGTTCTGCTGCAGACCGAAGGCTGGGAACACTTTGCCATTGTGCATGAGGTCAGTCAGAAGCAGAACAAGAATGCAGCTGTGGCGCAGAGCATGGCGCGTACGTTGACCACAGAGAATGGGAACTTTGTGCTGACGGGTAAACGCAGCATACATCCTGGCATGAATTTAACCAAACTCATGCAAATGATTCCCGAAAGCACAGACGGTACGTGAAACAAGATGTTTATCAGCAGACAGTAAAACCTTAATTCGTGTCCATAACCGATTACGGTCGATGCACTGCCTACATTAGAATGTACCGCAGTAATTAATTGTATTTTCTCTTTCAGCGTTTCCTAGACTCACTAATGACAGAAGAAGTAGATTCAATATTTAAAATAGTGGATATCTTAGTGTAAGGCGAATGTGAGTTCACCATCGGTAGACTTGAATGATTTTTAACAAATCCATATTTTAATGATTTTGTTCTACCGACCTGGCAATAGTATTTAATGACAGGTTGCGTAAACCAGAGAATAACCAATTCAAGCCGTTTACAGCAGAATGTCAACCACGAAAGAAGATTGTCCGTTAGTGCTGCCCTAAGTCACTTGAGATTTTTAGTGCATAATAGCGTAATTCGTGCAAGCAATATAAAGCCGTGCTCTGATTTTTTAAAGATATAACATTTAACAGACAATTATTTATATTTTATCGTTAAACAAGTTTACTGAACATTAATTACAGGTGGTATCCGTATAGATAGGCAAATAAAAAAAATGCAACCTCGAAAATCTGTTCAGTCGATGAAAGCGCTTGCAATGTTGAGAAACCTAGTGCTAAATTGAGTCATTAGTCGTTATAACCATAAGACAGAGAAAAAATGTTCAAAATGCAAATAAACATGCCGAACATATGAGAGAATGTACACAAGGTTTATCTTGTTTGATAAGGGACGATATAAATATGTGCAAAACTTTTTGCATTTTTAAACGCAACTTCCTGAACAAATGTGTACAAAGCATTGCCACAATGTATACAGCATGCATTACACTTTGACAGATTTCGCGTAGAGAAACCTATCTGGTGGTTCTAGGTGGCTGCTTAAACATGGTAGTAGTCATTGGAAGTATTTTGATTATTGTGAGTTCTAACACATAAGCAGCTGCCAGTTCATAGTGAATGGGAACGTTCGCTCATATAAATGTCTTCGAAGTTTGATTGCTCGTTATCTAGGATGCATAAACTATTAAGACTTTCCAGTAGACTGAATATCATTTAAAGTATATGTTTGGAACTATGCTAATATAACGATAAGATTGCCTAAATAAGGTTAATAAAATCGCAGACTTTAAGCTATGTGTAACAAGGTTCCTCAAACGGTTATTTCAGAATACTTATACATTTAAAGCTCTACTTCATGAGGACTAAAAGCCATGCTGCGCAAATTATAAATAGTGAACACTAATTCACTTAAGATGTACTTGGCCTGATATAAAGAATTATTTCACAAAAAGCCCCAAATGTCGATTAATCAATAATAAAAGAAAGGAATGGCTTTAAAACAACTCTTTTCATAGGTCAGAGTAAGATACACGCATGTGAAAATTCCAATAAACTGTTTTTTTTGAAGCACAGAAAACATCAAACTGCGTATTAGCCTCTTCATATACACAGAAACGGATAGCACATGAGTTTAAAACTAGAATTAGGATGGGCCAAATTATGACACGAACTTTTAGGTCCCAGCCAAAGCTGCACTTAAAAACAATTATCGATTAAGCGCGAATCACTCTGAAAATAGACCAGGTTTGTGTGAAATTCAAAATGAGAATTCTAGTTTGTTTTACGTTCCTTGAAGCTATAGTACGACTGGATAAGGCCAGCTGAAAGTTGAAGACCAAAACTTACTGGAAACTAGTTCAGTATGTATCAATTGGCATAAAATTTGAGGGATAACAATTCCAAGAACATAGTAATTCGTGAGATGGGCAAAAGGACATTGATTTGTTGTTGTTTATGTATGGGATCCTTTGCGGTGTGTGCACGGAGTACGCTGACTTTTGTGTGAGACGCTATGCGATCAACTCAGAATTTCCGTGCATTTAGACTTCCCCACCCTGCGAACTTGAAAAATGTTTGGCAAGATTATTGATATGCGATCCAACGAGTGACTTTATAAGTCTCACCTTTTACCTGATTTTCGCGCCTTTGGAATGCTATGTATGCACATATATGAAGGTAAAACCGATAAATACAAGGAGACCAAAATGTTTCACCAGTCGTCACGTTAAGCCTTCGGTGTCATTCTCAAGCTGTGCTAGCAGCCGCACAGCGGCTAATGATATAGGCCCAATGACATAACCCGGAGGCGAAATATAATTAATACAGTTTCTGGTATATGACCTCCAGATAATAATCGGATAAATAATCCTGTAAGTTATTAAGCGCATGACTTGAAGGTGGGTGACTGGAGCATGATTTTTCAGGGTCAGAACCGAAATTTATATGAACACTTGGGTCGAAAACAATCAACTTCTGTGGAACAACCACGCAAGTAACCATTCTACAAACGCGTAGTACTACAAGTAGTATGAATTCTATATGGAAAAGATGTCATACCGTACTCCTGCATAGATATTAGCTAAAAGCCCAGTCACGTGTTTCGCCGATGTTTCTGCTGCTGCGTGATACAGCAACGAGGGGTTCGGCTCCCCAGTGGGGCCCCCAACGTCCCCTATATAAGTTCTGGTATATGACCTCCAGTTACTAGCTTGTGCCCATGCGGCAGTACGATATAACATCTTTTCCATATAGAATTCATATTACTTGTACTATTACTCGTTTGTAGAACGGGCATTTGCGGGGTTTGTCTCACAAAAGTTGATTTTCTTCGACTAAAATGTTCAGAGAAATCCCCGTTCCGACCCTTAAAAGTCATGTTCCTATCACCCGTCTCCAAGTCATGCACTTAATGATTTACAGAATTATTTACCCAGATACACACACATATATGGTTTTGTTGGGATAAGTGGGACTACGACTCTTAGGCAAGCGAGCGCAGTCGGAGATATATTGACCGATGCGACCTTCATTTTTCTTGGATTATGAACGAGTGGGTAGCTGGATTTCCTGGCAATAAGGTGTTAATTTGCTTACCGCCTGATGAGTCCGAGACGTTAGGAAAAATAAACGGCGTGCTAGCAATCCCATATCTCCAGCCTCAACCACATTTAATCTCATTTATTTTCGCAGCAATTCTGAGTTAAATAATCTGAAGGATATTTGCTTCATTCCAAGTTCAGTTGCCAAACAAATGATATACGACGCATTCAGATGTTCGTGAGTCATTTTCACTCCACCGTGAATGAACGTGATTTCGAATTTGCGTCTTTATTCTTTTCGTGTTTTTTGCTACCAACAAAATTATCAGTTAAATTTGCCATATCCGCCTTCAAATGATCTTCCAATTAACACTTGCATTTTCAGTAATTATCCTTCTGACAAGACCACCCTTGGCGATGCAGTTTATGGAGCAGAACGCGAACGTTACGCGAATTACCCAGGGACGCTTAGCCCTGCTTCACGTCGACTATACTGATATGCTTACCTATGACGTACTTCGTTTCTGGCGACAAAGTCTTCAGAATTGTCAGCCACTGGGCGAGCCAAGTCGAAGTTTACTAATTTTGACAGCGTTGCCGAGAGGAACAGTTTATTCGGAAAATTTAAACTTCTTCAATGAGGTGTGTATGTTTACAAGTTTATTCCATTGAAGCACTTGAGTAACTAAACAAGTAGGCTTTGCGTGGGGTGGGAAGGGCACTTTATGTGAGCCACCAATTACATCAGATTTTTCATAAAAGTCTATTTAGTTTAATTTTAAAAAATGGCGATTTTTTAATTTTGAGTAAGCAGAACCTATATCCCTTCCGATAATATGCATGAGCCGCTGCTAACAGAGAAATTATTAAATGATCATTCCTTAATTTTGGATTTTTCAATGTCTAATAGATAGCAAAACCTAATACCTTTGGGCTTTTCTTCGAAGATTCAGTGTCCTTTTTCCGACTATTATTCGGATTCAAATCTTTCACTGATTATCTTACTAATCTAGCAAAGCATCTCATAAATTGTATTTACTTGTGAAGATTTCACTATAAACCCGCCAACCGCTTCGCCCTAAGATGTTTGTAACGACGGTTAGTAGCGTGCTACTTAAATTCACATAAAATAGCGACAAGTTACTTGACTCACTTGTGCGAAAGAAAATTCGGCGCCCTCGTAGGGATTCAAACCCACGCCAGCAGGGGAAAGGCTTCATTTCAGCGAGCGTTCTAGCCAACTGAGCTACGAGGTCTCAACCGAAAGCTGTGATTTTAATCACACTTCGGTCAATTTACCCGCCCAGCCTACTGCAACGTATAATAATCGGCCAATGCTGGTACAGTAAGCTGACTGTCAAAGCGGGATCTCCTTAGAAATCAATCTAGATTTCAGTTGATGCTTACCATGCACAAGCAAATATTAGGGGGTATGGCATATTTAAATAAATTAATTTGGCCACTTGTGGAAAACTCGTAATTCATTTGGCCAGAACGTTGGCTGGAGTAAAGCCCTCTTCTTGATGGCGTGGGTTAGAACACCAAAGGCACCGCCAAGTTTATTACAAAAAGGTTAAGTGGATTTTTTTAATTTGTGGAAGACACCGTTCCAATAGAGGCACCATCATCAAGATGACGCTGTTTTGCTTTGGTCAATATTCTTGGTGAAAAATTCGTGTAATCGTAAGAATGACACATAATTTCGATCCGGTGGTGGCCTGCAAATTAAAAAGAAATGGCATAAATTTCAATCAAGACGTAATGCGTCTTCTATGTTCACAGTTAGCTATACCAAAGTATCGAATAGAAGAGGGGGTCCTATTCGAACACCGAGCACAAAATCTGTAACCAAACTTCATTCCATTACTACTAGAACTCCCATACAACTAGCAGCTATTCGGCTACCCAGCTCACATAAATTGCAACTAAAGTCTAAAATACCTGTTTGATTACGGAATATTACTTGGATGGGATGGTAATACAAACTTTCCTGTAGAAAAATTTTAAGATATTACAAGTAAGCCAGGATTTTGAAGTTTTATGCCATATCAACTTGCTAATACCAAAAAACTACTTTAAAACTACTTACGTAGCTCTCATTGATTTTCTGTGCCATTTATATTCAAATATATGGTATAGAAAACGTAATTAGAAATATCCTTCCTTATGTTTATTTTGTATCACTTCACGTTTCTTCATGAAACGTTTCTTTCCATGAAGTATTAAACGCGGTCAATTGCAGATTATACGACCACTGCAGGATATAATCTTAACGATGGATGAGTGGCTGATTTTCCTTGTACCGAAAGCATGTATCTCGTTGATTGAAAACTCTAACGGCACATTTAGCGGCAGATCAGCTTTAAAATTAGTTGTACCCTAAAACAGATTTATTTTGCGTATACAGTCTGCAGAAAGCGTGATTTCATGCCAAGAGAATACAAGAAATACCCTTTTTTCTTGCGTTGCTTATAAAATACGTTTGCATGCACAATTACATCTAAAATCAGTCGAAGGAATTCATAATCTCAAAGTAGTCAGCTTAAAGCGTGTTTTGTTTTCTGTAGGTTTCTAATGGGATATGCATATGAGGCCGCCAAGTTTTTCAGAGGGTCAAAGGAATCTTTAAAAACTGCCAAAACTCCCTATTAACTAGAAACAGGCCTGGTCTGCTATTTTAAGTCCACAGTAATTTGGGTAGCAATAGTGACCAAATTAAATGTGCCCTAATGCTTCCCTGTCTCATCATTAGTCAGAGGGAGAGAGAAAAACATGCTTTATCTTGAAGGCAAATAGCCAAAGTTTTCAGCAAATTATGGCTCTATTTACTGAGAACAAGGGATAAGGAAAGGAAAAAGGTTAAAGAATACTCAAAGGCTAAAGGTTTATATGATATCCCCGTTCGATTTCAACTTCTGAATTTCCCTTTCTTTGCTCGTGAGTTAATGTGCTATAAATGGGAGTATAGAGTGTTAATAAGCCGATTTTACGGCAAGACATACGACGTAAGCTCCGGCGCATAGTACGGGAAAACTTCGCAGTCGTTAGTTCACAGTGAAGAGGATGAGCGACTTCACCAAGAATGCGGTCAGCAAATTGCTTGGCCGTTTCAAAGTGTTGCCGTAGCATAATCTCAGCTCACAAAACGTAGGAAACACCGGCAGCTGAAGAGAGCATTTGGAGGATACGTTTAAAATGACTAGATCTTTTTTAAGTAAAGCTGGAAAAAATAACTGGAGAGCAGTAAAGAATGAGGGGAAGAATGCAGGCATTTACAAATCGCCAGATTAGGTCTTGTAGTTGGCGATATGAACGAGCCCTCGACGCTAAATCATAAAGTGACCATTATTAAGGTACTCTGTCAGCTTTGTGATAAAGTTTCCTGCAAAATTAGGTGGTGTAAGGCACTGTCTGACCACAGTCACCCGGAGACTGCACTTATAAAGCCTTACTTTTCCCTCCCCCTGACTTCCAGAAAACAAACATGGCGGCATCTGCGGGTGCCGGACTGGCTGTGCGTCTTATGCAGTTAAATATAAAGAATCACGGTGGACGAGTTGACCAGAATGTGGGTCTTTTTCTTCCCCTGGTCACGAGTGATGTCAACGTGCCGATCAACAGCAATATCACCTTCCAGTTCCAACAGTACGACGTCAACAGCGTCCGCGGCATGTACGACATCTACATCTTTTCGTTCAGCTTAGAGGCCAGCACTCCGGCAGCCGATCTGACAAATATGACCTATACTGAGCTCTTTACCCTGAATGATATCATCCTTTGGCCGATAATAGCCGTTCAACAAATTCAATCCAAAGTCTGGCCTGGCAGCGGAAGAGGACCACCGAAAACGGCCTGTTTACTATACAAATGTCAAGCTGGTAGGGGCTGTATTCTATGGGGTCTGGTATTCTCTTGCAGTGAATCAGACCTACAAAATATAGTGTGAAAACTAAGTCCTTCTTTTGAAAACTGACATTTGGCTTATAATTAAATGTTTTAATTTTCCCATTGTGGACGTTAGCTTATTTTAAATTAACCTTTGTAGACAGGTTATAAGTATTATGGATGTCAAAACTTGTAGGTAATTTACCAAAATTATTACAAAGACTTTTGAAGAAATACGACCTTATGCAAAAATGTTACAATAATAATAACCCCGAATATAACCCAAGGTATAGTCATAAATTTTATGAGGTTATTTTTTTGGAGCACCTTTTTAGGCTTATTTCAAATTCCAAACAACAAGAAAGTTAAAACATATGCAATGTGGAGCTTTCAGAGTGTCTGACACTTTTATAAGTTCTGCATGTTCCATAGACTGAATACACAGGCATTTGTTTCTTCAACTTATCTTTCTTAACATTTTTTATGATAAACAATATCTGATAGTTCCAATAGATTGTACATATTCGACATTCTGCAATGCTAACAAGACGATTCATGTGGCCGAGAATTTCCGAGCATAGGGCACATTCTATCAGGCATTCACCACCTAATATATACAGCTTGTTATTTTGCCTGCACCCATAGACAACCTCAAAGAGATTTAAGAAGTTTTTCTCGGCGAAGTTCATAATCCGTTAGTGCCCTATCTTTGGAGCAAACGATGGTGTAGGTGGTATTTTAAAAAAAGGTGCGGTGAACAGAAATGTTTAAATTCTTCAAGTGTCCACATACGCAGAATAATGATCAACCAAATGGTTTTCTAAATTTGCTTACTCGTTTTGAAGCAGAAAAAATCAGACAGACTACATGCGTTTATATGGACTAACTAGCTAATAAGCTTAGTTGTGAGAATGCTGTGCCGCACAGTCTTAGAAATGTAGTAGACATCCGGTAACCACAGTATAAAAGAAATGTTTTGAAGAAGCTGGTTCGTGCTCAAACCCGATAAGGGTTGAGTACTGAACGGTTAAGCGGAAAAATCTAAGACATTTAATGAACGTCGCGTGCAAAGTTTTTGAGTAGTTTTCTAGGAGTCTATCTGACGTTTCTATTTGTTTGTTAAATTTTTCTGTGATAAAAATCTACAGGACTGTTTGACCTTACCATTTTTCTCACAAATTTTAGGTACATTCGAGAACATGATTTCCATTATGGTGGGTGGATCATTTCTGTTTGTTGTCACAACTGTTTTGCTCCTGCTCTACAGAAGGTAAAACGAACAATGTCTGATAACTTTATGCTGTTTTTTGATAAGCCGTTTTCAAAAGCCATATTGAAAAGTTTTTGTAAACCGCTGGTAACAATGGAAAACTGAAACACACTGGGCGTTTTTCTTGACAATGTAATTGCACGTAAACGCCGCATGCGATTCACAATAAACGTAGTAATTTAAATTCAATAATGATACCCATGCAAGCATTCGGGAAGTCAAGTTAGTTGAACTAACGTTTTCGATTAATTCATCACCAGGCTAATATAATAATATAAGGAAGGGTACCGATAACAAAAGTTCAAGCAAATAATCAGTAGTAGTTCGGAGCGACGGGAGAAGTTTTAAGGGATCAAAGAGGTCAGATTCTAGTCATAATTAGGAACCAGATAGGAAAAGGGGTCCGACAATTAATTATCGTCGCTCCATCGTCCTTTTCTCGCGTTTTTATGGGAGGCGTGACGGTGTGGGTGGCCTG